TTTCGAATCGAATGGAAATAACTGCTCTATATGCGTATTAAGAAAATAAACGGAGGGATAAAAGTAAGAGCAATTGGATAGAGAAAAATAAAAGATGGGGAAAGGGGCGCCCTGTTGTTGGTTTCCGGGGCTGGCCAACCGTTAGAAGCAGGGCGAGGGTTCTGCACAGGCGTCCTCCGTCGTCTTCTACCGAAGGCCGTGTGGTGTCACGGCGAGCGTGGCAAAACCCGGAAAGAAGAAAAGAAGCCGAAGGAGCTTGGAGAAGTACGAAGGAGCACGAAGGAGCCCGAAGGAGCTAGAACACCCTCCTCCTCCTCCTCCTCCTCCTTCTCCTCCGGCAGGTTTTCCTCGCCGAAAGCAGCCCTGGTGTCGGCACCGTATGTATATATATATGAACATCGAAACAAAACTCCTCTCTTTCTTCCTCTCTTATATACTCGCTCATTCTCTTTCTACCTCTCTATTATCTTCTATCCCTCGTTCTGTCCATCTTTTAGTTTCCGCTCACCTTCCTTTATACATTTTGTAGCATTTCTCATCGATGCTCGTCGAGTCCAGTCGAGTCGAGTCGAATATTTTTCACCAACACAAATTAGACTTGGTGATAAAAGTCCAACGAGAAGAAAATCGAAACAATTTGGATTAACGTTACTTTCCTCCTATTGAAATAACCGTTGAATCGTTGAATCGTTGACTCGTTATTACTTTAAAAGTGCGTGCTCTTGGTTGGTACTAACACGATATCGTACGCTATATAGCGCTTGTACTATTGCAAACGCTCGAATTAGAATCGTATACGAATTGACTTTGATCCTTGACAGTTTCGTAATGCATGTGCTCCCAGACCCCATCTGTAGTTGATATAGAACATTTTGTTTCCCTCCGTTGCTCCGGTCTTCTTATTCTTTCTTATTATCTTGCCTTCTCATAACCTCGTCCCCACCCCACCCCACATCAACACCGCGCCACTTTGCTTTTTCTGATCTCTCTTTCTCCCTCCCACTCCTTCACGCACACACAGCACGCGACACGCATTCATACGGTCACGCTACTCATTCGGTCGGTTCTTCTCGAGTATGCCATCTCTTTCTCGTCGACAATTCTTAGTTCCCATAATGAACCGTACGACGAGGTTCGTGGTGAAGAGCAAACGGACGTAGCAGTTTCCCCGTTCCATTAATGATAGCTTTAGAGGAACTTGACCTTTTAAAGCGAACAGACCAAATTACCACCAAAATTTCTTTCCTCATCTTATTCTCCTTCGAGCAATTACATTTTTTCATAGTGCCCTCAACTATTTTCTGCCCTTTCCCTTTCCCTTTCCCTTCTTATTTTCTTTCTCACCTGACAGATTATGTATACGTGTTACTACCTTATCGATAAGTGTCGATATTATTTACAAGCATTATAAATACCGAAAACTAAAATTTTCCTCAAGTTCTTTGAAAAATCAAACATGTGTTGTATATATGTACATACATATGCATCGATCCATCATAAAAACCTGATTCCAAGTATATATGTATGTAGATTATATTAATGGTAAGATTGATGCTTTACTTTCTCCGTAAAATATACCCTAATTTTTCCAATACGGAGAAAATTATTGAAACGATAATAAAAAGTGGTAATATATTTTTAAATAAAACTGTCTCTTCCTTGTGTATGATCTTTTAACAGTTATTTGTCCGTGGAGTGTTAACGATTAGAATGCGATGCAACGAGTCGAATTGAAACGAAACGAAACGAAACGAAACGAGCGAATGATAGCGTGCCTCTCACCCGTTGAACGAAATCACGTTGGTTAATGAAACAAGATCCGTTGTTACTACTGTTCCTGAAGGTTTCAAGGAAAACAGAAGGGAGAAATCCAGTGGCATTGGTATTTTTGATAGGCGGAACCAATAACGTTTGTACGAACGATCCTCTTCCATAAAACGATATCCATCCTTTTTTTTTTTCATATTCAATTCGAAACGAGTTTTGCTGTGTTCTCAACGTTAATCTTTACTCGATCCTTTTCCATCTGTTTAGTCTGATTGCTGATATACGGTAAACGAGTAGAATAGAAAAGGAAAAAGATGAAAAGGGAGGAAATGAGAGGTAACCGATTAGGAACAATGACACAATGTTCGTCCCGAGTTTGGTGTGTCCAAGAAGCGAGGGAAAAGCAACGCTGTCAACGAATCGATATCCGGATGGGCGTGGCTTTGTCGGTCCTCGTGGATGCTATAACGTAGAATCTCCCGATGCAGCCGTTGTCGTTCGAAAAATTTAGTTCGAGCTTCGTTTAACGTTTTCCCAATTTATTTTGCTTTTACATGTTCATTTTTCTCGCTTCGTAAAAGTTTGCTTTGCAACTGGAGCATCGACAAATATACTCTTCCACGTCTATCATATCCAATTACTTATACTCTTCTAGTTTGTTGGAAGAATTTGCAAGTGGTGGTCGCCTCGCGATTCGTCATCCAGGTAACGAATACGGATCTTGAGTCGTCTTACAAGACGTTTATCTCGACGGTAAAAGAGCGGTAAAAGAACGGTAAAAGAACGGAGCCAGCTATTTCAATTCAAAATATACACACGTTTCTGATATGCCGACGCGATCAGATTACTTGTATTACAAATCTTTCCAACTTGCTTCACCAGTTTCGTAAACATTTCGTTCAATCCTACTTTCTCTTTTCGAAAAATAATTTGGGAGAAGAGATGAAAAGTTCAAGTGAAGAAGTAAGTTACAAGACGTTGAAAAAGTCTGATCGAAACGTGTCGGAGGGAGATCTTTGATGATCGCGGAAGGGGCTAACAGTGCGTGCAGAGAAGTGCAAGAAAAAAGGATATTGGAGGATAGGGGATAGTACGCGAGAAGAGTATTCGCAGCATGTGCTCTCGTCAACCCCCTTCTTTCTGCTCCACTCTCTTTTCACTCGGTTCATTCTCCCCTCTCGCGTCCTCCTGTCTTTCGCCTACCTTCGCGCACCGATTTTCTATTTTCATTGCCAATTCAATTTCCCCCTAGGTTCGTTCAAACCTACCTCGGCTGCCCTCTTTCCATTTGGACTAATTCCTCTATACAAACTTCCTCACCCTCTCCCTCTCTCTCTCTCTCTCTCTCTCTCTCTCTCTCTCTCTTTCTCTCTCTTTCTATTTATTAATTGCCTTTTTCTCTTATTCCGTCTTAGCCGCATCATTTTTCCTTTCGATCGTTTATCATCCTAACATGTTGGAACAGTTTCAAAGCAAAGTCTTTCCACCCCGCATCCTTTCCGCGAGATCTCTGTTCGCTTCCCTCCGCTATCCTTTCGACATGTTCATGCTCCGACAGAGAGGGTTCTTAGGGTGGACAGAAATTCAACTCAACTGTTGCGCTTCGATATTACTATCTTTTTCCCGATCGCTCCATCGCACGATGTAACAGGCGAAAGGCTAACCGAGAAAAATATCGCGGCAGTGAGGTGGAAAAATGGTCGATACGGCAGGTACCAAAATCCGTAGCTACGTTACTGAACGACTACCCTCTAGCGATTCGGTAAGTTGCTAGGATACACCCCACGCTCAAACCCTCCCACGATTCGGCTATCGGTGCCCTTCTACTTTTCACCGTGTTCCTTCTATTCTAAGGCGAACGCCAACCAACGGCCAGCTCAACCACACACCGACTAAATCTTATCCTTCTTCGTTCCTCTATCGCCAGAAATCTTTTCCTCACCGATTCTTCCTTCACTCTCCTCTATTCCACCAATCTTCCTTTCCATCAACATCCCAAACAAAACCAACAATTTTCTCAACGACACACACTTAACAATTCCTCTCTAAACATAAAACTTGCAGACGCAGCTGCAACAGCTAACTCCTCACTTCACTATCACAATATTCGTCCGCGCTTGTTCTTCTGCACACACTCTCAAACGTTTTACGTTAAATGTCGCAGATGCTATTACAAATTACTCCTTCTATTTGTCTCGTCCAAGCAAAGTAACTCTAAGCCAAGAGCCAAGTCGTAACTGCTTTTACGCGAATACAATTATGAAACTTTAACGATGACGCGACGCGCATAATTGCTTTTATGCTTGACCAGAATGCTCTCATAATTGAACAGATAACCGACGTAACATTGAAATCTTCCTATTTTCCTGATAAACTCATTCTCGTTTATCTTCCTGTCTTATGTACACCTACTATGCTTTATATTCCAACTTTTATTACACAACTGTACACATTTACGTATGACAACGACAATAACGACGAGGACGGGGACGAGCATGAAGACGACGAGGACAAGGACGAGCACGAGGACGAGGATGACGAGAACAACTACAACCGTGACAACGACAACGACAACATGCTGTACAACATCCGGAGGAATTGGACTTATTTATTAGAAACGCGTAGGGAAATGAATTAACGAGACTACGAATGAATATAAAAATATAAATGACTCTTACCGTTTCTTTCCAAAGACCGGAAGTTGCTCCAGATTTTTTAGTGGTGACATCTTTCGTAGTTGACGCGAACTTATCTATTCGACATGTACCGGTTTACTCGGCAACCGGTACTAACCCCAAACACCACACCAAACACACTTTGTTATGCACTAAAACGAATTGTTTCACATCCGCACTTTTACGAGATTACAACAACCCAACAAGATACCACTAAAATTCACCGGTAATACGTAATTTGAGTAGAATTAGCGATAAATGTACACTCGAAATGGCAACTCACGAACCAATCGTCTCTACTTGTGCGTTTACAGGATTGCTGTAAACACCCACTAGTCAAATTGGCAACTGCACGATTGAAAATTTTTATCGGTTCGTAGTAATTTGAAGAATCGATTTGTTACCAAAATGATATGTATATTTAATTATAGGATTAAACGTTAATATTAACGTTATCGCTACATAGAATAGAAAGAGCGAAAATGATATTGTGTCGTGTCGAAATTGAGTAGAGAGCTTGAAATCCGGCAATCACAGGTTGAAGCGCCACTAGTGTCATGGCCTTTTCCTGTTCACGCGTACTGCAAAGAAGACGTGAACGAAAGTTGTATGGTAAGAAATTGAAAGGTTCGATGTATTTACCGTTCGGTCGTGTAAGAAAAAGTGATATTGAAATATTGAAAACGTGCGGAGATAGTTGGTGATTGGAAACGCAGGATACGTTGGAAGGAAAATGTATCGGTTAAAAGTGTTCCCAACCGTACACGCGACCACATGGCCACATGTCTTAACTATATTCGTATACGTTTCGTATCAACAAAGTTGTGTAGTGTGCTCTGGATAACATTTCAAGCAAAGAGGAAATTATATCGAACGTCTATATTATTGGAAAAGTTCCGGAGTGTAACAGTTTCTGTCAACTGTTGCGTCCTGGACAATCGATGTTTATGCCTATTTTGCCTTTTTCTTATTTTTTAAATCACGGATCATGTATTAATTGGCATGTGACGCGAGGAAATATCGTTTATAGTGTTTAAATGGTTGAAAAAAGAAACGTGTAAAAAGTTTGCTCCATTGTTCGTATTTACATACAAAATGAGGGGAAATCGCTGTGCTTTTACGTGCACTGTTCTATTCGTATTCTCCTCTTTATTACAACGCTTACCGATATAGCGAGAAAAGACATTAGTCGTGGTGTGAGAATGTTTGAACGTTGTAACATTGTTTTTGCTTGTTGGTTGCATAAAATGTGGATAGTGTAGCGTTAGCATTGGTTAACCATTGGTTAATTCAATTAACCATTGGCAGCTAGATTGACTCTATTCTTATAACTATAATTTTCATTTTGCAGATAAAACATGGCTGACATGGAAACATACGACGATATAGTGGTGCCCACTGCGACAACATTGCCCGTAGCACTTTCTGCTGAATTGCCAGAGATCAAATTATTCGGTCGTTGGAATTGCGACGACGTACAGGTGAACGATATGTCCCTGCAAGATTATATCGCGGTTAAAGAGAAGAATGCAAAATATTTGCCACATTCTGCTGGACGTTATGCTGCGAAACGATTTCGAAAAGCTCAGTGCCCCATCGTTGAACGTCTTACAAACTCATTGATGATGCACGGAAGAAACAATGGAAAAAAGTTGATGGCAGTGAGGATCGTAAAACACGCCTTTGAAATAATTCACCTGCTGACAGGTGACAACCCCTTACAGGTAATTAATAACAATTATCAATGTTGTTGAAACGTAGAAAGAGACGTATCGTTGAGATGAAAATACATGTTTACATTTGGGCAAAGGTTCTCGTGACGGCCATCATCAATTCAGGACCGAGAGAAGATTCGACACGTATCGGTCGTGCCGGTACAGTTAGAAGGCAAGCTGTGGACGTTTCACCATTAAGACGAGTAAACCAAGCCATCTGGTTATTATGCACTGGTGCTAGGGAAGCTGCATTCCGTAATATCAAAACGATTGCCGAATGTTTAGCCGATGAACTGATCAATGCTGCCAAAGGTTCGTCTAACTCGTACGCGATTAAAAAGAAGGACGAACTTGAACGTGTCGCTAAATCTAATCGATAAACATGTTTACTCGTGAAAACGTAAAAATAAATGATCTATCTTTAAAGCCACTCCTCTTGTTATTTACTCCTGGTATTTATCTCGGTCGATTTTACCGAACGAGATTTCAACAAGGTTCGATCGAAAGAAAAGTGAGGGACGGGGTGTATGTACGTCTAGTAGAATGGGGTAGATATTTAGTAGATAACATGTGAAAAAGAGATGATTTTAGCTGAAGAGAGCAGCGTTCGATTGGTAAGTTATTTGGGGAGAGGCAGAGTGGCACAACGCGCAACGTAAGGTAACAGTGTTGCCACTACAGAGAGTGTGTCGTAACAATTTAGACGTGGAATCGAATCGGAAACTGGTCGCATAATTGTTTTTCATTCAATTCGGATCGTAGGTGTGTCGTGGAAGAATGGCAGGAACACTGAAACAGGTAATGCAATTCTTTTAATCGGGGGTAGAAAGTAGAAGGTTCAATGATATTCGTTCGACGTTGGAAGGTGGTTGCTCGGTGGAAACCTAACCATACTTTTGCTTTCTATCCGTTTTCCATATCTATCGTTGGAAAGACCGTTAGTTGAACAAGGATATTTTTCTGTTCGTAGAAAGTAAGACTTGCCTTATCAAAAAAAGCTCACAGAGAACTTGGTGTAATTTACGAGAAAATATTACGAAACCTGAAACAAATGCCGCAAGATTACATTTTCAGAACAGATATGGAGAAGCAGACAAGGGAAAGAAGAAGTATCGTGATGCAGGTAATTTATGGTCTGTCGAAATAGATAGGAGCGGAAAGGTTTCGTTGGTTTTTCGAGAGGGGAAAGATGAGAGGATAATGTGTTTGACGTTACAGAACGACGACATGGCTGTTGTAGAAGCAAAGATAGATGACGGAAAAATGGAAGACGTGCTATATAGAGCGAAACTGGAACTGACTTTGGTAGAGTGTTTCGTGAAGTATAAACCGTGGGAGAGTTTAATGGAGACCGCTCCGAAGAATCAGTGGACCTGGCCTCCTCAGAAGTGAAGGAAAGAAACGATCCTTTGGATAGTTGTACATAGCGCTAAATACGGAAATGTTTACCGACGATCGATGTAATACCATAGATTAAATTGTACGTTTGGGTAGTTAGTTGGAGTTGCGAATGTTTTTGTTTGTAGAGAAAGAAAGGTTAATAGGAGATAAATATAAAGGAGAATTGATTTGTAACGGGTGATTGAGTTTGGGGTGAAAAGGGGAGTTGGAGGATGAAAGTCGGAAGAGGAGGATCGTAAACGGCGAGGTAAAGGGTGAGAAAAGATGGTAGAAAGGTATAGGTCTAGTTGTAAGGAAGAAATATGACCGAGTCGAATAGAGAAGGTATATAAAGGTTGAAAGGAATGCGGCGAGAAAGAGTTGTAGAAGAGGGGGAAGCATAACGCTATGCGTTTGCCGGGAGCGAGGAAAAGAGGGAGGAATAGAGTAGGCAGGTTGGTAGGTAGGTGAAGCACGAGCGATGGTAGGAGAACGGTTTTAACCAGGGTTTAGGGGTGGGGATCGGAGGGCCGGTGCTCAGTTGCGATTTCGCGTCGCGCTCGAGGTTAGGAAACGCGCGAATCGCGCACTCTCTTTTGGGTCGTCTCGGTATCGCGCTTCCACGATTTCGGTTTTCTCCTTCCTCTTTTCTTTCTCCTCCCCATTTTCTCCCTTTCTCTTCCTCCCTCTCTCATTCTCATTCTTGCTGGCCTGCATACTTAGTTCTCATTCAGTTCTCTACTCGATTTTCGCCCGTCTTTTCCCGCCTGCTATCGCTCCGCCTGCGTTCGATCTCGCGGCAAGCGAACATTCGCGAGAATCGATTAGATCGCGAACGCGCGCGTGTGCCTTGGTGCAGCGAGAGTTTCAATCTTGGGAAGGATACGAGAGGAAAGATTAGCGAAAGGGCTGCAACAGAGTGAACAATATCGGACGATTTCACTTTTCCATACATCCAGCCTCTCTGTTACGTTAATCGAGGCAAGTATTATACAAGCAGTTTCGATCGTTTTCGAAGGATAGCGATTGTAAGAGGCGAGCTCTTTCGAGTAGGTGTTGGAATCGATGGAAAGAAGGTTTTGCGTCGTCGCGATTGCTCAAGAAAGGAAGGTCGACAACGACCTCCTTACGATGCGGTGGAAATTTTCGAAGGAACGCGTGTTTTGACCGAGTGTTCGATCCGGAAGAAGACGAACGTTAGACTCGGTGGGTTGGAACAATACTCGTATGTTCCCATTCCCGTTCTTCTTCCTGAAAACAATGCGCCGTGGATAATTTGGTCGGTTAAGAGGAGAGGCGCGAAAGCGGCATCGAAACGATCCCAAATTGGCAGCTCTCACATCAAGCGGTTGCTTTCCCGATCGATTCTCTGGTAACGCTTGGAATCGGTTGTACCGCGATCGATTGTCCGCCGCGGAGCGGCAAGAGGGAAGGGAGAAACGAGACCGCGGGATGTCGGGGTATCGAGGGGATAGGCGAAATCGGAAGAAGGTTAACGCGCCGTGACGTTGCCCCGTTACGTGCTCCCTGCCGCTTGCTAGCTTGCTCGCTTGCTCGCTCTCTCGATGCGACCGCGAGCTTTGTTTA